TAAAATAGAGGAAGACATAACAAAATGATGCAAGAACAGAATAAAAACCTATGGAATGAAAACTTTTAAATTGAGTGACTAACTTTTGACATGCTATTTTTGTCTTTAAGTATGTTTGAATCACGAGTTGCCAAGGTGTTTAGAAAAATCTGTCAAGTACACAAGTCTGCCTTTCGGGTGGGTGACTCAATAAATCTCTTATCAAATGTTTAAGAAAATGTCATTAATAAAACATGTAAATGGTGTTAAATATTTAGGAGAATTTGATCTGTGAAACGTGTTGCTCATCAAAATTAGAATGTATTATTTTTACAACTTTTATTGTACTTATAAGATCTTCAAGTTGAGCTTACAGCCTTAAGAAAAATTATATTTCAAATGTAATTGAATAGAGCAAACATTGATTAAAGCATGTATTTAGAAGTATTTTTCTTTCCATGCCAAAAACCTGCTTTGAAAGCTCGTTGACACATAGTTCACATACTTTTCTTACCTTTCTTCAGAAAGTTATTCTACTTTTTACGTTTCTTCTATTTTATCTCCAAATCATGTAAACTGACCTTATGGTTTATAGCAACATAAAAACACTATAGCAATGTGTTTTTTAAGTGAAATTGTATAACAGATAATATATGGTTTTTATAACTATTTAAAAATAATTTATAGTAAATGATAATGCATTGATTTTAGTTTTTATTTGATTTTCCTCTGTCTCCTCTATCTTTATTTCACTTCAATGCCTTTCACCTTCCAATTTTAAGGTGAAAGTATGGCTTTCCCCCCAGCAATTGAGTTCTATGGAGGGGCCTGAGGTGTGAGGTGTAATGACAATAACCACTGAACCTAGAAAGAAAAAGTGTTAAGCACAATTTACATGAATAACGGCCTGAATTGACATCTGAGTGCTTCTAACTTCCTTGATCTTATCAGATAGGCAGTATTTTCATCTATTTACAGATGCAGAATCCAAGGTCATGAAACCTGCCAGTGGCATAGTCAGGACTCAAACCTGTTTAACTCCAAAGCTCTTAGCAACTACAAATCCTCCGAGATGAAATTATAGAATATCCCGCTATGTTTGTACTTTTCTGGTATAATCAACCAGTATCTTTGAGGGTTTTCTTTTTGTATTCAGAGTACTATCATTAAGTGCTGGGTATACAGATTCACTTGACCCTCTAATCAGTTCTTGTATTACCGATTCATCTGGGGTACTAGTGGGTTTTGTTTCCAGACTTCAAGTGAGAAAAAAAGGATAAGAGTCTACCCTTTATGGGGGGACCATCTTTGATTCCTCTTTACTTCCCCATGAGTCTCCCAAGGGAATGAGAAACACATTGTTGGCTAAAAAGAAAAAGCATCAGAAAAGATGAAAAGTTTGTACCTAGCACAGTATTTGGCACCTATTAGGGGTTCATTAAATATGTATTGAAGAGAATGACATTTCCACTATTTCATTAATACATTCAGCAAAATACTTACTGAAGCTCAAACACGTCTCGGGCATTTTCTAAAGGTGCATGGTTTAATACAATGATGATTCAGACATGGCCTCTACTTTCCAAGAATCTGATTTAGAAGAAATAAGATGTGCATAACAATAATAGATGATAGAAAGCAGTAAGTGCTGAAAAAGATTGCAAATCAAATGTCTTAAGTTTGAAGTCAGAAAGACTAAGAAAGTCCCCTTGTCTTAGTCTGTTCATGTTGCTCTAACAAAGTATCTTAGACTGGGTAATTCATAAATAATAGAAATTTATTTTCCCACAGTTCTGGAGGCTGTGAAGTCCAAGATTAAGGCACTGGAGGGTTTGGCGTCTGGTGAGGGCCCAGTCTTTGCCTCTACAATGGCACCTTGTTGCTGTGTCCCCTAGTGGGGAGGAATGCTGTATCCTCATGTGGTAGAAGGGACAGAAGGGCAAAAGGGACAAATGACTCCTTTACACCTCTTTTATAAGGTCATTAATACCATTCATGAGGGATCTGGAGCTCATGACTTAATCACCTCCTAAAGACCCCACCTCTTAATACTATCACATTGGCAATTAAATTTCAACATATGAATTTTGGGGGACTACACATTCAGACCCTAACACCCAAGTTGGTTAGTTTCTTTGTGTATTTTTTCTTTATGCTGCCGGTGGCAAGCTCATGATTTCAAACTTTCCTTTTATCTGGGTTAGTCCCAAATCTCTTGTTCTGAGTTGTCTCCCTAGTTTCCATCTTCATCCCAGACATCATCTCTATATAAACCTACCTGCACTATTAACTCCATGTGTCAAAAACTGAACTCATAATTCTCTTCCAAATCTGTCCCTAACTTAAGATGAGAAGAAAAAGAAACATTACACAGGAGTAATGCTTCCTACTTCTCAGAAGTAGGAAATTCTGAGAAGTAGGAAACTCACAGCATTAAGTATTACAAAGACAGAAAGAAGTAGGAAATTCACAGTGTTAAGTATTACAAAGACAGAAAGAAAGCTGAAGATTCCAAGTGTCTCCAGGTTTTTAAAATGTGTTCTTGCACCATCTTCCCAATTTCTACCATAAAAGTGGAAAATGTAACCTTGATCTTCACTTTGTCCTCTAACTATAAAAGGTTTCAAACTCGCCTGTCAAAGGGAATTTGGAACCTCACTTCCATGAATATTCTCTGAATTCTTCTACTAGAGAATAATAGAATGTGGTAGTAGTACAGAAAACAATGTCAGGATTACTTAACATAATACTGCTTCAGATGGTCAGAATTTGAGAAGAGAGGGCAGAAACTAGTTTAATTATTCCTAACACCTCTGGGGAAGCCTCTCCCCCCACTAAATTATGTCCTTTCTTCTTTATTAGCTACATAGGAATAAAAATTTAGAGGAAACTTTAATACTCACGTTGGAGTTATGACATTAAAGATACTAACACAACCAGTGTGTGGATAACTTGAAATAACTTCTGAGCTCATTCACCATTTCAACATCTTTATCTCCTCTACTCTCCTCCAGAAGAGGGGAATAAACTACATGGATATGGCCAATTGGCTAGCTGTTCAAGAAACTGGTGTCCCTTTCCTCCAAGAATCCCTTAGTTAGGTGGGCCAGATGACTGAATTTTGTCTGAAGGAATGTGGGTGTGAGGGATATGCATCACTTCCAGGCTGATTCAGAAACATTTTCCAGGCGCCATCTTTTCCTTCTTTCCCAATGTGCTCCTCCAACAAAGAGGGCTCTATGGACTGAAAGGCAGAGCTCCAAGATGAGAGGAGCCTGGGGCGCAGAATGACAACATGGAAAGCTGCCCACTGACCCGAAATATCCACACTGGACTGTACGTGACAGAAAAACAAACTGTGAATAGTTACTTAACCTCCTTGGGTCCTAGTTTTCTCCTGTCGAAGTCTGTCTAGTTTCCTGGCAAAAAGGAAAAGCTCAATAAATATTAGCTATTATTATTATAAGGGAACAAAGTTCACTTTTCCTTAATTTTCTTCTTTTTCTTAAGCAAAGTAGAGCACTGGGGGGGGGTTGGAATTAGTGGAAAGCACTTATATACATTTACTTGTTACAAAATACTAATTGGTACACTCAAGTAAGACACCACTGTAACAATAACTTAAAGAGAAAATACATTTTCTTCTGGATCTTAGGCATTAAATTTTATGACTGGGCTCTTGCTAAAACACTCATAGCTAATAAAGATGTGAAATATAAAAAGAACGTAATACTCCCCCACATACCCCTTTTCTTTCCCTGATACTGAGCATCTAAGGATGTTCTAAAATGGTCCCCAACCTTTTTGGCACCTGGGACCGTTTTCATGGAAGACAATTTTTCCACAGACCCTGATGATTTTAGGATGATTCAAGCATATTACACCTACTGTGCACTTTACTTCATTACATTGTAATATATAATTGAATAATTATACAACTCACTGTAGGTTGGGGACTCCTGTTCCAAAATACCTAACAATCCACATCATTCCTGTGGTTGCAAACTGGCAAAACATGTGTACAAAGAACACTTTGTGCTATTACAATATTTAACTGATACAGTTTATTAATAGTAATAATCAACTTTTATTGATTTTTATATAAATACCTTATAGAATGTTTACAAACATGTTTTTCCAATATATTTATGTTATGACAGACATTTCTTCATGAAAGTATTTGTTAAGTCTGTGCAGAAGAAGTGGGGAAAAGTGAAAAGAGAAGAGGGAAAACAAGATTTCAAAACAAATCTTCAGTGATGAGTCTAAATATTCAACAATTATTTCCTTTTATAAAAATCACAGGCTTATAACTTTGAAACAGCAAAAGTGCGGTGCATTCATTAAAAAATTAGTAGTGCCAAATATATTACTTCGGCATCACATTTCTCTTTCTAAATATATTCAGATTCACATGTTTTTATACTTATTAAATAATGGTTTTAAACAATAACCATCAAAACCTTTAGTTACATAATCCCAAATCTAGATTAAATCATGGTAATATTGATATTTTAAAAATTCCAATTTATTTATTCATCAGTAAAATGTAGTATTTGACAACGTCCATAAGAATAAGCCTCCTATGTGTAGGAAGATGATAATCTTATTACATCTGCTATCAATTAGGTCATTTACATGGATAATTTATCCAAATTTTTTTCTACACTGATGTTTTCACTTGAATAAAGTAATATCAATAGTCATTGTCATGCCAATACTGAAGAATTAACCATTCCTGAAACAAGGACCAATCTTCATATTAGCACTTCTTGGTTATGGTTCTTAGTCTTGGTATTATTAAGCAGAATGAATTTTCCTTAATGAATATGGATGGATTAAGGCAAAAGGATATAGCCTAGTCCCCTTTATCACTTATTCTCTATTTTATTTAAAATTGTTGAGACTATACAAACTACAGATCTGCTGGCTAGAAAGACTCATGTCCCTTGGATCAACATCTGGCCTTTTAAGCATGAGATTAAAATCTTGGTGTTCACCTTATCTTCTCTTGATTACTGTTATGATCATTCCTCAGCAGAACTCACAACGCTGATTTTCAAATGATACCAATGCTATGTATCTTGGCTGTACACAGAGTATTTTTCCTTATTAAAAATATATTAAGAATAATTGGGCAATCTACTCAGTCTTTGTAAGCTCTCCATTGAATAATTTTTCATTTTTACAACCATTTTTTGCATGGCTGTTGCACTTTTCTTCTGTCATCTTTTTCACGTAACTAAGTGGTCCCTTCCCCTCAAAGGAGGAGGGATTTTTGAACGAGCCTCCAATTCTATCCCATAATGTGAAATACTGTCCATAGTTGTAGTCAAAGAACATGTGGTGGTCTGTGTGATGAGCTGAGCCATTAATAAGTGGCTTTAAGATTTCGGGGACACGAAAATCACCATCATGAATGGAAATTGTCCAGATATTAACCAAGACGTACAAACCTAAATAAACTACCTTATGTAATGGAAAAATAAAAGGGTATATATGGTAAGGTAGACTCTGAAGGAAGCCATCCACAGGGTGAAAAGCATGACTTGCAAATGGAGAAGGAATCTTCCAAACATGATGAGGTTTATGTATGCGCTATAGAAAGAAAGGACACAGTTAGCACCACAAACATTACCCAGTGTAACATTCAACTCATGTTGTGGGAATGACCTAACTAGAAAATCCTTTCAAAATTAGCAACATCACTTTATAAAATGCCCTTCTTCTTTATCGCAAAACAGTAAAATTCTAAGACAGCCCCTGCAGACCCATAAACAAAAATGTACCTCAAAACAAAATGTGCCTCATAATAGCTGTCATGACTATGGCTACTCAGGCATTTAATATAGATAGAGGAAATTCTTGGAAACAGAACAGAATTTATAATCATACATTGCTGAAATATGTAATTTTTTTCTCTTTCCCCTACAAATGACCCTACCTTATATACAAGTCTATGATGAAGGCCTCTGTGAATCCAGTAGATCAGCATGTCAGTGAAAAAGAGGAACGATACTACACTAAACATGAGTTGAAACCAGCCTAGAAGAGACAACAGGAAACAGAATAATCAAAATTCAGCTCCTAGGATTAGAGTTTACTTTTTACATGTCCATCTAAGTGAAAAATGGGATCCCAGATTCAAACACTGTAAACTAATCTCCCGCGACTCCCTGGAATCTAGTCATTTACTCATTTCCCTCTCATATGTACTGGAAATGTCCCACCTAAAGTGTTTCTTAATTAAACTATAAAGATATTTATAAAACAGAAGAGAATATGCCTAAGACATCTATACTATTTAAATCTCTGAGAATTGTCATTTCCTTCATATCACTCTTCCCAAAACATATCTTTACATATTACCTCCCTCCTTAAAACTTCATTTTCCACTAAATACCTTAAACCTAGCATTTATTCCAACCCATTCTGATCTTCCCAGTCTCATTCTTGTACTTCTGCTCTAACCAGGCTGGCTTTCTTAATGTCTTCTCCATGTATTGAGGTCTTACCTCTGTATCTTTCCTCATACTTTTCCAAGAATCTAGAATGCCGTCCCTTCCCATATTTTTCCTCATATCCTACCTATTTTTCAAGGCCCACCTGATTCATCATGCTAGTATACAATTTTTTGTTCCCTCGTGGGTGTTGGTGCCATCAAACCTGGGTTCAAGTCTCAAATCCCTCAACTGTTTGTTACTGAAACTCTCTCTATACCTCATTTACTCACCTATCAAAGGAGCATAGTAATTATACCTACCTCATAGAATTGTTATAGGAAAAACTGGACTGATACATGGGAAGAGTTTAGAACTATCACTAGCACATATTAACACTGAATAAATGCTATTACTCTTACTTTCCATACACTACATACTAAACATGTATCTTAAAATAATTTCAGAATTTCACAAGAGTTTTGTCACTGCAGGACTGTTTATCATAGAAAAAAAGTAACAATCTAAAGGTCTAATATTTAGGAATCCTTCACGTAAATTATGGCTATCCACACAATAAAATGCTATGACTAGTATACTATATAATGTCAATACTGACATGAAAATATGGGCATATATATTGCTAACAGAAAAAAAAACAGGGTCCAAACCCATATGCATAGTAGGACTTCATTTGTGTAAATAATGAAGTCTACAGGCTCAGAAAAGTGGAAGGATATATATTGAAAGATTTTCAGTTTCTAAGTAGCAAGAGAATGGATTTTTAGAAATCTGTATTTTCAACAATTATCTGTATGACTCAAGTTATTTTTTTTAGAAGTCTGAATCCAGTAACAATAATAGAAAACAAATGCAGGGATCTATTGCTGATCATTCCAGTCTTCTCCCAGGCACAATTTCATCTACAATAGACTTTAAAATGGACAGACAAAACTAAAGAAATGCATATAAGTGGCAAGACACGAATGCAGGAAATAAAACACTAAAAACAAATGAATAATTTGTAATTTTCTTAAAAGAAGAAAAAATGAGGAAGATTTGGTTCTATAAAGAGACCGACCCGTGCTCAGCCCACTTTCCTCCTGAAGAATATTCATGTTAGTTACTTACCACTTGGATACTCTCCTATGTCGTCATACAATTTGCTGTAACCTCTCAACTCTAGCAGGAACAATGCAACGGTAGGAATACTCATCCATGGCAACGCCTGGACAGTAAACTTAATCTCTCGAGAGACTTGATTCTGAAAATGAAATTTCCAATACTTATAAATCACAAAATCTATGTTATACAAAACTAGCACAAAATTATTTCAGATTGCATTTTTAAAATTCCTTTTATATGAAGGGGCTTGCCTCCAAACTGTCTCTATTAAAATTTTAGTATGTGGGAATGGGTGTGTAAGAAAGTCATTCCTTTTGTGCTGAGCAAATGCAATAAATATTTTAGATTCTGATATCTTTCTCCTTCCCACAAAATATATATTCTAAACTTCTATTATGGAATAATCATTTCTTTCATAATTAACTTCTATCCACATCCTGTTTATTTTTTTGTTGTTTGGTCAGTCCTTGGAGTAACAAATACAAATAACTGAAATGGAAAAATGATTTCTAAACAACTCTAAAACTAGTGAGACTAAATCCCCTCTCTAGACAAAAAAAAAAAAATTTCAATTTGTGAAAGTCATATATTAAAAGAATTACATCAATGTGTGCATTTATTCTTCAATATCAGCATAGCAGTTCTCCTCTCTGTTATCTAGCAAGATAAGATACCAGACTAACAACTTTTTCTAAAAAGTTAGGTTTGTTTAAATTAAGGAAAGGAGAAGGGATTAGCCCTCACAAAAATATCTAACTCATTTGTGGCTCATCTCAAAACTTTAATTGTTAAAGTTATATATAATCAGTTTAATCTGAAAATCTCACAAATTCATCATATTATTTTTACTGTAACAGTAGTTAGAAAATAGGTAAGAAAATCTCTTACCTTTAAAAATTGTGGATGTTTCATTAATGAATGATCATAGACAAAATAATAGCTCACTGTTGCACAGAAGAAATAAAGGATATAAGCACCAATATTTGTTACAATCAGGAGACTAATGGTTTGTCGGAAGATATCATCCTCTGGCCATGTGGCTGGATATATGTATGGTGTAAAAAAATAATAATCTGCAGCACTGAGTACAAGATCCATCTTAGCCCCTAAAAGATAAACACATGTAACAATTACTTACCATGTCTACTTTTACTAAGCAAAGATTTTTCAAAAACTATATCTAAAATTCCTGATTTAAGAACCACCATATGTGGTACAAGTCTTCTGCTACCAGAATCCTCTGAATGCCATCTTTAAAGCTCCAGGCGACTTAAATATGTCTAGTCCAATCTCTTCATATCATATATGGGAACAGGAAATTTTTCACTAAGGTATCTCATTAAGCTATTAAGCTCAGGTCCAATTACATTTTAGTGTTCTTTCCTTCTGCATCCTGTGGCAATATGACAAGTAGTAAAGATGGGAATACAGGGTTTACTCTGTCAGCTACAAGTTTCAGCTGCATTGCTCTCCTTCAAGGATTCATATTTCAGAGATCTTTGTTTCAACACTGAGACCTAAGATAAATTCTCTAAAAGGTATCTATGCTGCCAACACAACCATAGAAATCAGGGACTACCTGTTCTGGGGGTGACATTCCCATTGACAGAACATAGGGAGAATTGGTTCTAGCTCCCAAGTAGCTAGAACTACAGATGTGCACCACCATGCCTGGCTAATTTTTTTATTTTTGTAGAGAGGGGTTCTCTCTCTTCTTCTGGGATTCTCATTGTGCTTATGCTGGTATACTCCATGGCGTCCCCAAGTCTCTGAGGGTTTGTTCATTTTTCATTCCTTTTTATTTCTATTCCTGACTATATAATCTCAACTGACCTATCTTCAAGTTCTTTGATTCTGTGTTCTGTCAGCTCAAATCTGCTGTCAAGCTAAACAGTTAATTTTAAATTTCAGTTACTGTAGTTTGTAACTTCTGAATTTCCATTTGGTTCTTTAAAAAATAATTTCTATCATTTTATTGATAGTGATCTACTTGGTGGGAAATTGTTCTCATACTTTCTTTTAGTTACTTATACATGCTGTTCTTTCTTTAGTTCTTTTAATATATTTATAGGAGATGACTTTGGTCTTTGCTCAGTAAGTCCAACATGGACTTTCTCAGGGACAGTTCCTATTAATTGCCTTTTTTGTGTGTATGGGCCATACTTTGTATTTTATACTTTTTTGTGTGTGGAAAATGGAAAACTTTAAATAATATGATATGCACTCTGGAAATCATATTCTCCATATACCCTCCCCTGCCCCAGGACTCACTTAGCTGTTGTTTTTGCTGTGCATTTAAGTGACTTTCCTGGACTAAGTGTAGAATCCTTGTATCCTCTGTCATGTGCAGCTATTGAAGTCTCTCACTAATGACTGGATAGATTTTCTTAAATGCCTTGAACCAATAAGTCTCCTATCATTTGCGGAGGTGCTGTGTGTTGGGCCAAGCTTTCAACATTTCCGTGGGCAGTCTACAACTCTAACTAGCCTTCACTTCTTTCTTGCACTAACCCTCAAGGTCAGCCAAAGAGAAGAGATTAGGGTCTTCTTCCATCTTTCTCGGGTATGTGCACAGCCCTGCTTATGGAGATCATTCTAGAATCCCAGGAAAATATCAGAACTTTTCAAAGCCTCCTATGGACATCTCAGTCTTCAGTATTTCCTTTTAATTATTTTCAGTCAGGCTTTTGTTAGTGCCAATTGGTAACAGTGCCTCCAGGAGCTGTGATATTGAACAATGATTCTTCTTGACACACACCCAAGGGACAGGACTTTTCACATTGAGCAAGTTCCAAGGTCAAATAAACACAAGCCTTGAGAATTGCCAGCAATGTCAAATGGTCTCATGTATGGTGGTAGTTCCCATACTGTCTCCTTTAGTAAGATACTACACAGACACACCATGTGTAAGCTCCTACAACTCCGTGTTCTGTCCTGTTATCAATGACAGATGTTGCCATTCTTGTTTGTCATTATCCAGTAGGCTATCTTAAACTATTTTTGCTATATTTTCACATGCAATTAAGCCCTAAGTAACAAAACAACAACAGCAACAGTACCAGCAAGCAACAGGCAGGAATACCTGGTAGGTGCACCAAGACACGGTGGGTGCCTCAGTCAGCTCGAGTCAGGATTTGTCACCAAATGAGTTTGAGTGCTGAACTTAAAACAAAAACAAAATAACCTTTTGGTTTTCAGGGCCTTCCAAACTTCCAAATGATAGCCAAGGGGCTATGAACCTGTATTCCATTGTGTAACTTCACTGTTGTTTATTTTAAACACGTACATAAATATTTAGATAGGTTCCAATCTTTTGCTATTACAACTAATGCTACAATGACTAACCCTGCATTGAGTAAATTTCTGCAAACAGAAGAGCTAAGTCAAAGAGTTACTGCACTCCTAACTTTGGTAGATATTGCTCAATTGCTCTCCACAGGGGTTGTACTACTTTGAAAGTCCTCAAACAACATAGGATAGTTGCTATTTCTCTACAATTTTATCAACAAGTGATACCATCACACTTTTGGATATGCATCAATCTAACAGGAAAGAAGGGATATTCCAGTGTATATTTAATTTACATTTACCTCATTGTGAATGAAGTTGAGCATCATTCATATGTTTAGAATAATTTATATTTTGTCTGTGTTTATCTGTTTTTATTCTTTGCCCATTTTCTCACTAGGTTTTTAGTCTCTTCGTAAAAGTCAAATTCTAGGATCTCCTTACTTAGTAGGGAGTTTAGCCCTTTGCCTATGATATGAATTATGAATATTTTCTCACTGTTGGGGAAAGAAAAATTTAATTAACATCGATGCCAGAGAGTAACATATATCTCTCATCACATATGCCATTTTTAATTCATTCAAATAATAATTTATTAAGTGTTAAGCACTACACTAGGTAATGAGCATACAAAGATTAAAAATATACAGTCTAAATCAGTTTTAAAGCTAAGGCAACTACAGAAACAATTACATCAATATGACAAATGCTGTAATAAAAATGTATATGCAAATTCTATGAAATCAGAAAAGACAACACAACTACCTCAGCTTACAATAAAAACCTTCCTAATGAATATGACATTAGATTTGGTCTTTTAAGGACATCACCAGGAAAAAAAAAAGATTAGGGATAATTCAAAAGGTATCAGTTCACCATTTTTTTAATGACTGAGTAGTACTATATGGTATACATATACCACATTTTATTAATCTACTCATGTATTGGTGAACTAATACCACTTGGATTAACCTGGATAGAACTGGAGATGATTCTTTTAAGTTAAGTATCACAAGAATGGAAAAACAAACGTGTACTCACCATTAAATTGGAACTAGTTGATCAACACCTACGTGTTGGAAATAAGGAATAAGGAAATAACATTCATTGGAAAGCAATCAGGTAGGAAGGGGAAGGAGGGGGTGAAGTCAATTCACATCTAATGGGTAGGTACAGTGCACACTATCTGGGTGACAGGCACACTTACAACTTTCACTCAAATGGTACAAAAGCAATTCATGTAATCAAAACATTTGCACCCCTGTAATATTCTGAAAGAAGAAAAGAAAAGAAAAGGTTAGGGATAGTATTTTAAATAGAAGTAGCAACTACAAAGCATGGCTCATGGCTTACTGAGTGTGGCTGGTGAATGCCAAACAGTGTGATAAGGGTAAGGCAGAGGGAAAAACATATTAAGGAATGAACCAGGTTAAGAGAAGATTGGTGTTAGACTATGAAGGGATCTGCTGCCCTGCTAAGGAATTCGGATTTTCTCTCACACACAGTGGGGAGACACTGAAGATTTTTGAGCAGGAAAAAGATATAATTAGACCCATATTTCATAAAAACCATTCCATTAGAAATATGAATAATGATGGGAAGAAGGGAGAGTAGTCTGGTTGCTCCTGTGGTAGACTAATCCAGAGAAAATGACAGTCTGATCTCAGGCAGTAGCAGTGAGAATAGCCACATTCATCAGAGGTTTATCAAGTAAAAACATCCATAAGACTTGGATAATCCACAGATACCGAATGTGAAAAAGTGAAAAATCTAGGATGGCTGTGAGATTTTGGCTTGTCTGAGTAGATGGTGGTGTCATTATAACTGAAATAAGGAATACTGGCAGAGCTAGTAGATGCTGGTGAGGTGGTATTGGGAGTGGGTAAGTAATGATGGTTTCAATTTGGATCTTAAAATCTAATTACCTGTGGTTCATCTGGGCTCCTAGATATAAGAAGTAGGCTACATGTAAATATGAATCTGACACTCAAAAGCAAGCCTCATAAATAGGTAGTAGTTGAAGTCATAAGATGAAGATTGTCAAAGGAGGCAGTGTAGCAGGGGAAGTGCACTAAGTAAGTAATACCAGGGAACCTAAACATTTAATAATTGAAAAGGAGATTGTACACCACTAAAGGTTGCTAAGAGTTGACAGGCTAATCTACATGTTACCTATAGTGCTACATAGCCCTAATTCAACACAGTACCCAGATACAGCCAAAAAGAACTCAGACATTAGCAAGGAATCTTCTTCATTCAATCTTAAATATCGAGTATAAGTAAAACAAATAAACAAACAAAACTCTTTAATGTTGCTTTTACCTGAAGACCATGCTAATTGTGTTAATTTGTATAGTCCCTGCACATTACTGCTGCAACAGTAAAATTGTGCCTGGAAGGGCGAGAACTAGTACCTCAGTCAATCTAGAGGCAGTTTAGACAATGAAATTAAACTGGTTCTAAAGGTAGAACTTTTAGTTTCCATTAATTCTATTTGTAGAATGTAGTAATTAGGTATTCATTAATATATTGCTGTAATTTCTGACATCTAACATACAATCTTCTGAAATCAATAATAATATCTCAACACTGCAATTAAATTTCCAGGTAAGTTTATATTCAAACCCACATCTGTAAAATGGAGATAACTAAGTAGTCTTTTGACACTATCTGACACACAAGAGGTACTCAATAAATAAGAGCTATTATTATTACTGTTATGGGAGCCAAAAATGAGTCAAAATTAATGTAAGGCAAAAAAGGTCCCATCTGACGTTTCTTTGAAAAATAACTGCTAGTAGCTAATATTAATATTTACTATATACTAGGTACTATAAATATTTTTCATATATTATCTCACTTAGCCCTTCAAGAAACCTCAAGAGTTAGGGCAGTAGTATTACTTACTTTATAGAAGAAGTGGGGCACAAAAAATTCAAGTAACTTGCCCAGAGTCATATAGTAAATAAATGCTGGAGTTAGGATTCAAACACACATAGGCTGGTTGCAAAGTTCATGGACTTTCACCAACTTCTATTGCCTTTTTAAAAATTTTTTAAATGGGCATTTATTGAAACCTTAAAATCTGTACCCCCATAATATGCCGAAATAAAAAAGAAAAAAAATTCTACAAGCTCATGTAATTTTGTGTGTAATTTTAAGGAGTTATAACTTCTCAATTAAGGGGCTCCACAGGCACTAGGTACCACTGCTTGAAACAGAAGCTGGTATTTTATCTTTGCAGAAATAAAGAAAACGTTTCTTAAAATACAGTTATCAATAGAACAATATTGGGCTTAAAATGACTGAGTCTATTATTATTACCTTTTTGTTTAACTTTAAAAGTATAGATAATAGCTAACATTTATTGAGAACTAGGTATTATTTTAAGCACTTCTTGTATAACCTCATTCTCACAATTGTATGAGGTGGCTACTTCTATAATCCCCACTTTAGAGACAGGGAAACTGAGGTCAGGGTATTTAAATACTTTCTCAGTAACAAGTAACAGCTGTGATGTACATTCCGGAGCCTGTTCTCTTTGCTACTACATTATCTCTCAAAATATTTTATGTGTAGATGGGGGAATTCTGAGTACCACTCCATCCTAATTACATTACATAATGAATGGAAAAGCACTCTACAAATGATCAGGGGTCATGTATTTATTATCTATTAGGTATTTACCATTAAAACTTAAAAATGATAGTGACATAAACACAAGTAACCTCATAGAAGGTTTCGGCTAAAAATACCAGGCTACCACAAACTTTCCAGCTGAAAGTAATGTCTTCTTCACCTATACCACCTCCAAATCTACTCTGCTATAACATAGGGATGGCAGTATACATGAGTTTTCCTTTTACAATGCTAAAGTCATAGATTGTTTCCCGTTCTCTTCTACTCTGCCCAAACCCTAAATTGTCCCTCCCTCCTAATTACAGTAACTGAGGCTTGCACTGCAATGGTCAAGAGTTCAGATACCGAAGAACTCTTCAGCCTAACTCCTTTGCCCATTAAAAAACAAACCAACCCTCCAAGAACGAAGGAAAAAGTAAAGCATCAGTGTTTAGCAGCCAGACTTCCCTTGGATAACAGATCCGCAATAGCCAACATCAAATACTGCATTTTCCTCAAGCCCTTCCAAGTCTGTGGTCCAGACCTCCCCGTGGAACCAGAAATCCCTCCCTTGCCAAAGGAAGGGCCCTCAGCCGGAGGTCTCAGTTCGGCCAGCCTGCGTCCCCCACGCCCCGCACTCGTCCTGGCACAGCCCTGGCAGCCTGTTCTAAGGACGCCCAGCTACCTGCCAATCTCTGCTGCCCGCCACCGCAGGTAGGTTTCCCCGCGGCGTTCGCGACACCTGCCCAGTGCCTGGCATCTGGGAGGCCCGTGCGCCCTCAGCCTTCCCTACCTGGGCTTCATCTCCCTAATTTCTCTCTATCCCCTAGTCTTCCGCGCCTCCCCTGGCCCGCTCGGGGGTATTCCGCCTCCTTCGCCCGCACCCCGCAGCGCCCACCTGGTGGGGTCCGCAGTCGCCCCGGACGCCTCGGCTCGCCAGGAAGCCAGGGCAGGTTTTCGGTCTTCAGGAGGGCTGGGCCGGGAGGTGCGGAGCCACAGGAGACGCGCAGGGCGGCAGGAGCGGCCAGCCAATCAGGGGCCGGCGGCATAAGCTGATATGACGGCGGATCGCGCGACTCGCCGGATCGCGCGACTCGGCGGTGCGCGCCTCTCCGCGGTCACGTGGTCGCGCCGCGCTCGGCCACGCCCCCTCCGGCTCCGAGACCGAAGCTGGGGGGCGGGAACCCGATTGGGGTCCCGAGGCGGCGGAGGGCGGGGTTTCAGGTTTGTGTGCGGTTTTTAACTGGCACTGCTGTCTGCTGCTCAGAGTTGTACCAAGCTGGTCTGCGGTATTTATGCAAACAGTCCTAAAATGGTGCTCTCTCGGGAGAAATAGCTGGCATTGCCTTTAACGCAAATGTCGGAGGCACCCTCCAGTTCAGCTGAGGGATGTTGCAACAGCCATGGGACGGCTGCTAACACTCTTAAAACCACAGGCTGCAGCTTCTATAGCAATGGCTGGCTGGAATCTGGATGGACAGGCCTACGTAGATTGTTAAATGGTGATAAGATGAAGATAAAGCTGGACAGAGACCTTTTCATAGTGATGGTTGTCAAAAAAAAAAAAAAAGTTACCACAAATTTAGTTTAAAGCTCTAATTGGCTTTTATTTGAGATTCATGAATCAGGGCAGCATCCTATTCCATGAAATAGAATAAGAGCTCCCGCGACCTGAGCAGAGGAAGCTGGCTTTATAGGCAGAGAAGGCCTGAAGAAAGCAGATATAGTCGTTTCCAAGTTACTTTCCTTATAGGGTTGAAACAGATGGGACTGACTCGTCACGCCAGCTCAGGTAAACTGGGCCCCTTCTGTTTGGTTGCTGTGAATCTCCTGGGTTTTTTTTTTTTTTTTTGAAAACTGGCTCATTTCAAAGTGTAACTTCCTTAGGTGGCATTTCACACTAATGACCCCATTCTGTTATAATTTGGTGTGGTCTGCTGGGAACTATGTGTAAAATCATAAATCAATACATGGAAGGCATACATTGGTTCGGCCCAAAAAAGCAGGACATCTGGGGGTGGAGGGGGACCGGTATTGCAGGTTATAGGTGGATTTAAAGATTGTTTGATTTATAACTGGTTAAAGAAATGAAGCTTTGTCTAAGGCTGACCTCCCTTCTCTTCATGGCTAGTAATTCAGCTTTAAGGTTTTTCTAGGGTCCTCTTGGTCAAGAGGGAATCCATTCAGTTGGTTGGGAGGCTTAAGGTTTTATTTTAGTTCACACAGGTTAAATTTGTTTTAGACTGTTTTAGATTGTTTTAGA